AACAACAACAGCAACAACAATATCTACACCATAACAGCCACATTGTGAAGAACTTTTGGAAAACAAAAGTTTTTATGCTCGTTCACAAAGTGAAAAGAGCATATTTATATTGGTTTTGCCCGGCGCGCTGTACGTTTGTACTTAGAATATTGCACAATTTTATTAATTTAAGAAAGTTAATTTCTTAAAATAGGTGTGAATTCTTTCTTATTTTAAGCTGAAGTCAAATTTTGCACTAGCTGAGACCTCATTCAAAGAACATTCCAAAATAAATATTGCCAAGACGAAAAAAAGGAACCTCTTTATGAATTGGACAGGCCTTATTTTTTAGGTATTGTGAACGAGTGTTTCGCAGTCGTTTACACCCGACTGCAATATTCTTACTTGATTTTTATACCCTTGCAGAGGGTATTATAATTTTGTCTCAAAATGTGTGCACTTAGAAGGGGACATTTCCGACCCCATAAAGTATATATTCTTGATCAGTATCAACAGCCGAGCCATGTCCGTCTGTCCGTCCGTTCGTCTGTTTCTATGCAAACTAGTCTGTCAGTTTTAAGTTATCGTGATGAGTTTTAAAGCTATCGTGATGAAACTTTGCATACGTCCCTCTTTCTGTTGCACGCAGTACATATGGTATGTCGGAACCGGGTGGATCGGACCACTATATCATATAGCTGTCATAGGATCGATCGGTCGAAAATGAGGTTCTTGTATAAAAACCTTTTTTGTTTTTGCAGATATCTTAACCATACTCGGATTAACTATTTTCCCTGTACTTCTTGGATACGTTCGGTTTGCAAGGGTATTAAATCTTCCGCGTGCCGAAGATAGCACATATTACTCGTTTTTCTTTTTGCCAGTCGCAAGCAGCTTTTATGTGTGTTCCACACGGTTTCCGAATGCCGCAGTCTCGTGCTCTTTCATTGTCCCTTTGCTTCGAGCTTTTCGAGTTCATAAAATTTCAGATTTATTTATGTTTGAGTTTTGCTGTGGCTTCTTCCGTTCGCCCGAGCCGCCGCCCCCTTTTTCTGTGGTCTCCTTGCATATAAAATGTGTTTTAAATTAAAAATTTACTTGCAAAAAAAAATTTTAAATTTTTTTATTTTTTTTTTATTTTTGGTTTTTTTTTTTTTCGAAAACAAAATTTATGCAGATACTCTTAATGCTGACAGCAACAGAGTCGGCTGTCGGCCGGACAGTTTCAGAGTTTCCCCCAGTTCTGGGTAGCCCTCGTTTTGGGCGCCAAGTGGCAATTTAGCTGGTCAGCCAGTCGGCCAGTTCTTCAATACTTCTCGTACCGAGTGTATCATAAATATTGTGCCGGCTTGTCTCTCTCTGAAATTGTCGACATTTTTATGAGCGATGTCCAGAGTGGGGCGAGTTGAACATTTTAAATGCCAAAATGCAGCTTAAACGCTGTCCGAAGCATCGGAAATCTGAATGCAAATGACATTACAATTGGCTGGGAGCTCCAGCGAATCATTTAAACTGCAAAAAAATCGAAAATAAAAGATTTTTATTGCACAAAAGAATTCGACTTATTGCATTTCAAGTTGAAAGTTGCATGGTTTATATATTATTTATTTTAATTAGCTTCAATTTTAAGTCCTTTTGTTGGACATATGATCATTTGAACACATTTCTATACTCGTTCACAATGACTCCTCTCACGTGACTGCAACATTTTTAGTTTTTCTTTTCCACTTACTTTTAAATAATTCTATCATAACTCTACAAAGCACCACATTACTTATCATACATTGCCTTTCTACGAAGCCCTCAAGCTCTAATAACTATTGTACGTATAGTATGGCAGCAATTTACACACACACACCCGCTACTTGACTGTGATTATGCAATGAAAATGAAACGACCTTTTGATATACGATCGATATGCATTTTAAATGTTGTGCTAAATGGCGTATTTAGCTTGTTCGCGACTAAAATTATGGGACAACTCCATTTGAAGCTGCACAGGAGGTCGATGCGGCAACGGCACCGGCGACGATAAATATCCAAGTGTAAATGGATACGAGCGCCAACAAACCGGCAAGAGCCAAAGCAGCCAAGCAATGAACTAATAAAGGACAGTCATGACAACAACGCCGACGCCGACGCTTTATTAGCTACACCCTGTTGTAGTTGTTGTTGGCCAAGGCATTATGTCCGTAAGCGCGCGCCCGCTGCAAATGCGTTGCCATAAATTTCAAGCTTTAGAGCGACGCGGAGGCAACTCCAACAATGTCTATGAAGACGTCGGCGGCGCCGCTAATGAAGATCAACGATTGGCGCACGACGGCGACGACGACGATGACGACGGCGACGGCGACGTTGCCGAGATTCCAGACAAAACTGCGCGGCGCGATTCACCTTTCCGGTCCGTTGTGGGTGGCCGCATTTCTATGCGTTGCGCGCAAATAATTCATAAATTTCATTCAATTTTTATTAAACGCGCAAGATATACGAGCCGCACGGGGAGCTGCCCGTTTGGGCACGTTCCGGAAATCCGCTCATTACGCAAGGCTTGTAATTAATCTGTAAAAGGAAAAAAAAAAACAAAAATAAGGAAGAACTTCTGAAAAAACTCTTGAGCCCGACTTTGTGTCGGGGTTGCGCACCTGTTACACGTTTCGGATTCGGGATGCGCAACTGTTGCGAAAGGGTTCCTCGATTTGTGTGTAAATATTTGCAAATGAGTTTGAAATTAAGCCGGCTCTTTTTATTTATGGGAGGGGCTCACCCACTGCTGCAGCAGCCCTGCCAGCTTACGCCTTAGTCGTGGACATAAAATACAGGGTCGCACATTGGTTCGAGACGGCGGCAAGTAATTGAAAATATTGACAAACGGGTCTGTATATTGTTAAGTTGTTAATTGTTAAAATATATCAAAAAGGTATATCAGACCTACATTCTTCCATAAATCCCTATCGTTTTTTAAGCGGAGCTTAAAACATGCAAGGTTTTCGGAATGGCCAAGCTTTTTGCAACCCTTTGTTTTAGTATATATTTTGAAAAATTTCATTATTTTTTTAAAGAATCCCACACATTTATTGTTGTTTCAATTGTCAAATTAAAAAAAAAAAACCAATTCAAAAATTTAACAATATTGCTTTCAACCGGCGACCTTTCATTTTTAGTCCGGTGCACAAACACCTAAGCTAAGTATAGGACTGTGTTGCTGATGATGCCCAAAAGGAAGCTTCTTTTAAACATTTTGCTTCCAAGCTCTTTCGGTTTGGGCATTGCGTTGATAACACGTCAAACCCTTTTACATATATAGACATTTTGTGTTTAATTAATTTTTATATTAATAAAGCATGCTCTGTAATAGACACCAATGTGCTCCAACTAAGGAGAAGGCTAAGATAGAGAAGCCGACTGCACGCCGCAGATTGAACGGTCAGGCCAAAGAATAAAAATATACATAAATTATAATAATTCTGTTTTCTTTTTTATGCCGGCGTGTTTCGCATGTCAGCTCATGCCATGACAGTGGAGGAGCAGATCTGGCTGCCATTCCTCATCGTCCCCGGAGCTGGTACTCGGCCAGCAGCAGCAGGAGCAGCAGCAGCTGCGTCTTGCCTGTTCGCCTACTCCTTCGTTTGCTCTAAGCTGGGCGGGCGACACTTGACTGACGCCTCGCTGGCGCCATCTAGCGGCTGCCGACTGCGCGTGCATAACTTGCGTTTCATTATAATGAGATTATCCTTTTTGCTTGTAACTGTAACTGTGTGTTATTGTGTAAGGATTTGTGCGTATGTGTGTGTGTGTGTGTGTGTCTGGCACATTTTCATTCCCAGCCGGGCTCTGAACTGCAACAGCTGTTTGTGTTTTCTTATTTAAATTATTTCTCCCTTTTGACGTGTTGTTATTTTGTTCTTTTCGACTCTCGTCTTATTCTATGTTTCGCCATTAGCTGTTGGGATTTGGGTATTTAACTTTGCTCGTATTTAACTTGTGCAAATAGCTTTATAGAAAGCACAGTCAGCAAAACTTTTTACTTTCCGATAATGCAGCATACAAAACATTTCGAACATAATTGAGTTCAGCAGGGATTCGAGAAATAACAAATGTGCTTGGACAGAGAAAACGATTATTTAAAATTTAAACAGTTTTCAAATTAACAATTGTGTGACAATTTTTATTTATACAGTTGAACGAAAAGTAGAAAATAGAGATGAGATGGGCCGCGTTTTACACCATGGCACGATGGGCCCTTGCTGTAAAACTCTATTTCGTACGGATTTCGTGTGGATATCGTGCGGATTTCATGCGGATTCCGTGTGGATCCGTGCAACTAGAAGATCTCCCTTAGAAAATTCTAATTTTGTCCAAAAATATGAACTATATTATATTGAATGCTATCTTAAGCCCAATGTTTTCTTACTAAATTAGAAAAATTCTTCTCTAACCTTGGCCTGTGCCTTGCTATAGTTTTTCCGAACGTATTTTACAAAGTTACTTTCGTGTTTTTGGTTTACTTTCCCCATTTCTCAATAAAATCTTTATAATTCGATGGCTTTCGTCTCCTCAGACTTAAAGCAAGAATTTCAATTGAAACGAAAAAAGCGTGTAACATTTCAAGAGTCATGAGACCTCCAGCAGCCTTCATAATGTGGAAAAGGTGTTTAAATTATGCAAAAATGTGTAAAACATGGAGATAAATATAATGACATATGTTGTTTTTTTCTTTCAAACTCTTTCGGCTAACGGTGTGATATTGATTGGAACACGGCAAGGCCGAGCCCATGTTTGAAAACCAATTAGAGCCGTAACAACAAGATCAACCATGGTAACAGCTAACAATCTGAAATCGTGTAATGTGGCTCATTACAACATCATTTTGTACAAATATGTTTGCATCTACCTTAAATCAGATCTCTCGTCGTTGTTTTCATTGTGAGCACGCGACAACAACATGAAACTTAAGGCGTGAGCGCAATTCAAGGTAATAAATTTGAAGAAGCCCGCATAAAATATCAGATCGTTGGCAGGGGTTCCGTTTATATAAATATACGCAAAATTTTATTCAAAAATAAATTGGGCGTTCGCTACGCCTAAAGCAGAAATTGTCAAGAATCTGAGCGACGATTGGGCTGAGGATCAAAGTTGAGCACATCAAATGTGAGAATCTTGTAAAAAGACACCGACCAGCCAGGATCGTTTAAGCGCGACAAAACGCGTCCCATCATCAGGTTTTGCGTTGATGGTGAAGATGGTGATACCGGTGGGTCCAACGGATGAGCATCATCTTGCTTAATGTTGGAGGCGGTGGTGGGATTTTTAGAAGCTTCCTGCTTACGCCTCCATTCTGCAGTATAATCGCGACGAAACCGTATAAAAATCTCGGCAAAAACAATGCGATGTGGCACAGACACAACATCTGATGGCGTCTTCAGTTCGCTATCCATGCGTCGGAGGATCTCATTGATTTCCACCAGCTCGGTGGGCGAATCAAAATCCTTCGTATTGCGCAGACCGACAAATAACATATCTATGAAAGCATACTTTCGGCCAAAGTTCTGACGTGTTGCCACCTTCATAGGTATGGCCCGCCGCAGATGCTCCTTCTCGAAGCGTACCAGTTGAAGCCTTGAATCGTTGCGCGAGAGCAGCATATCCCTTGTGATCTGCTGGAAGCCCACTGGCGTCGTATACTCGCTAATTTTGTCGGCACTCTGCTGTCGTATGATGTCTGTCATCACAATGGCCGCCTGCTTGGAGCCCTCAATGAACTCGGTCTCATTAAAGCCATAATCCCACAGCCACTTAAGCTTCCACATATTGAACTTTGTAATTAGATATTTCCAAGGATTGTGCAGATACACCAGTTTCGGTATGACCTTTCGCCTCTGGTCGTTAAGGGCATTTTGGCGTTTCCATCTACTACCGTGCACCTGGCGGGTGTTCAAAGGTGACTCAGTTGCCTTTAAGTTAGGATGGCTTCGACATGAGAGGCAGGCGATGCAGCCATCCAGGGTGAATGTACGCACTGCGCCGTTGTTAAGAAATAAATTAATTAGCATATCGACTTCAGGTGTAAAGTCCTTTGCATTTTTCTGCAATTTGATTTGACCAAAAATCGTTTTAATATTTTATCCAATTTATTGATTGTGTGTGTAGAAACACAAGAAATTTTGACAAATAATTCGAATGAGTTAAATTTAAACAGAAACATATAGAGAGGCAGAGAAGGAGCGAAATATCTGTGGCTGAGATTCAACCCGCTGGGCAAGGCAAATGCTTTCCCAACAACGTGAAGATCGTTAAAAATTATTTGGCCGATACATAAATTATATTCGACTTGGGTTGAATGCGTGAGTGTCTGAGTATCTGAGCGCTGCGTGGGACAAGTGCTACGGGTTGCCTTTTTTTCAGCGTTCCGATCACACGCAAACGACACAAAAATGAACAACGATCAGCTGTAGAAATGAAATAAAAGAAATGGAAAAGCTTTAAATGCAATTGTTGCGCTTGCGAGATGTGTATTTAAATGGCGAGGCAAATTTAATTATGTGTAAGATATTTAATGGAAAATTAAAGAGAAGCTGTTTAAGACTTTTAAGGTAGCAACACACAAAGAGAAATGTTCGTAAAAGCTGAGAAATCAGAATAAAGTCTGTTTTTTTATTTCTTATAAATACTATCAGCATATGTTTTTAAATCAAATAGAATTTTTATATTCAAGATGGCATATAATAACAGTATACTAGAGGAAATTGCTCAGCATTGACCGGGTCAAATGAATAATGTTGAAAATCGAATTAAAAAATTCTTTTGACCTCAAAGGAAACATTTGTGATATGACAAATTTCTAGGCTATTCGTGCGTTACTCAAACCAAGAAAAACCTCAATTTACTGCCTCCAAATCACATTTCGTTTGCTATACCAACATTTCATTGCAGGTCTAATGCTCTGGAAATGGGCAACTATGGAAACTCGACTGTATATTTTTTCCACCAACAACTTAAGCTAACATTAGTTTATCAATTCCCAGCCCCGTTGACTGGTTGACACAAAATGCGTGGTCGTCATCAACGACGTCACATGACGGGGCAAGAAAAACGCCGCCAGAGTTTCAGTGCTACCAACGATAAGCATCTTTTATGAACCGCCGTGTTACAACTATACAATAGCAACACAACTAACAGATACTTATTTGAACGCTATGCACACTTGTGAGTGTGCCTGTGCCTTGAGATTCAAATTGAAATTCGAATGAAAATAAGTAATTCATTTCGCTGCGGTTAGCAGGCCAGCATCGGGCATCGGGCATCGGGCAACGGGCATCGTTTATCTTGTTGCTCATTAAATCATTCAACTGTCAATCAACTTCCCCTCACTCAACTCATTCGTCTCCCATTCGCTGTGCCACTCATGAGCTGCATCTATGATTCGAGTCGAGTCGGGCTTAGTTGAGTGGTGTGGAGTGGAGTCGCGTCGGGTCCAGCCTGCAGCTAAAGACAGTCGTCAATTGTCTTCGGCACATAGCCAAAGGAAATATCTTTCTTTTTCAAATCGTCATCATCGGCTAGCAGTCTAGCTGTCCAATATAATTACTCACATCCACTGTTTAAAACTGCACGCATTTCGTTCTTTTCATTGACTCAACAATGGATATAGCGGTAAAGTGATTCCTATATAAACTGGTCAACTATTTAGCTTTATGTGGATTGTTTGGCTGTTGTTCTATGCATGTCAAACATGGTTTCATGTATAAATTTTTATTAATGAGTGGAAATACCTAACAAAACTGAAATTTGATGTCATTCCTGGTTTCTCTTCTTTCCACACGCCCTGCTCAAAGTTTTATATTCTTTACGCTGAACAGGACGCCCGCCAGGGCAAATTCCTTGATACTTAAAACCGAGTTAGCACATAAAAATATTCTGTTGTAATTATAGATATACGATATAGAGCAGACAATGCGAACGATTTGAAGTATTTATGAATATGTACATATGTGGTTTCGTATACACTTTGCTCTGCATAACTCCGCAGTTCGTTTTGATTGTCGCACTTTTTTTTCTTCTGATCGACAGTTCGAGTTTTGAGTTTCAAAAATGGAAGTTGACATGTGTACCAGCATTCATGGATTTCCCTCCCAAGTGGTTGGACTGCGCTTAGCATAAGTATCCGTAGATTTCCATATCTAAAGCTGTTGTTGTGCGAGTATCTCGTATCTCGTGACATGGGCATGCCAAAATGCTCTCGTACCTGTCAGGCGATTCAGGTTAAATCAATCAAACGAGAGTTGGAAAAACGAAACCTGTCAACACGGTTCATTGTTTGCATGCGCCGCGTTTAATGAAAGAACCGCCCCGAAACCAAAAGCAAAACAAAACAAGTAAGAGACCTCTAGTCGGGAGTCCCCGACTAGGAGATACCTAAGCCCCGCGCCAAATGTTCTAGCTTCCTTCTACCAGAACATAAATGCAAAGTTTTGCTTCTAGTTTACTTGGCCCCACATTATGCTTAAATGTATTCTTGAATAGCTTCGGTGTTAATAGTCCGGTCTTTGTCAAATTTGAAGGGCATAAACACTTTTTATCGCCGAAGATAATTTTGTTCTGCATGTTACATACATTTGCACAAAACATGATACCCCTTTTAACACATTTGAAATGGGTTTGGGGTATAACAAAACGAATCGAAAGCGAACCCAACTAGGCTTTCGATGCGGGAGTGAGGGTCTGTAGGGGGGCGGCACTATTGTAGATTTATGCGCGTATTTCACAGATACACACACACACACATACTTGCACACAACTTGCTGCATTTGCCATTCGTGCAGTTATTTGCATTTTTAGTTATTTCCATCTGGTGAACTATTGTCTAGTTCATACGGGTGGTCATTTAGCATATTTTGATATTGAGATTTATTGACAAGATAGAAACGTGTGCGACGTGCTCCACTGTTGCTGTTGTTGTTGTTGTTGTTGCTGGTGCTTTGTCGGTAAATGCTGCAAAGGCCGGAAACGTTATGGAAACGCATATTATGTCAAATGTTACTTAGAGTTAAATTAATTGAGTTTTGAATCAAATTCGTATCGAATTTCAAGAGACCTGAAAAATGGTCAGAAGAAAGGGGCGCCCACTTAAACGAGGTTGACCACAGAAATCATGAGGCGCTCTGCGTGCCACAGTGGAACAATGCCAAGTGGAAATCCATATCAGAGTTTCTATGGAAACCCTGCAAAGCGCGGAATGTGGTCGTGCCATTGAAATGCGATACGCAAGGCGAGGGACTAAACGAACGAGTTGCGGGGATCATGAGGTGATCTTACTGTCAGCCGCAAATTGAGGAATTGCTCACGGTTGCCAACTTCTAGGGTTTCAGTTGTCAGCAATTGTCAGTTTCTTTGCGGTGGAGGTCGTGGCTGGTGCTCAATTTGTCATGCAAATTGATCGCCACTTGCAAAATTGATGCTCGCTGCGGAAGCAGCAGGTTCAACTAAGTCCCTTCAAATCCGGTCGGACAAATTGCAAAGACTCGGTTCAATGCACAGTTCGATGCAACTTGGATACCCCTGGTAATTGAATACTCTCACGCATGCGGTGATCCTGACGATTCGATTGTCATTCGCGGCGGCGTTGAGTCATTTAAAATTCCAGGGCGCGCTTTGGCTGCCAAGCTGTCAGTGCGACACCTAGCGACCAACACCTGCAACTGTCAGTGCCACACCACGTGATGTGCCTACTTTATGGCCACTTAAGTCCAGCCACTGACAGTTGACACTCGTCCACTGCACGCGGTCGGTGCTGGTGTTGGCGTGAAACCGTCTTGAGCTTCCAAGAAAATCGCCTGGGTGTGATATCAGCATAAACTAACCCCCGCCCAGCGGCCCCATCCATTCGAAACTGGGCGAATCGCCTAATTTATGGTATTAGAGTTTGAATGCACTTTTCCGCGGCATAACGAACTTTGCTTGACGTTTGGTTTACGTACGCATAAGAATTAATTTCAGTTGAGACGTGTTTTCCATGCATTTTTACAGCCTGAACCCATTTAAAATGGGCTAAGAAATAAAAAGGTTTGTGCAAATTTATTTAAAAGTCAGAATGAGGCTTTCCGACCCCATAAAGTATATATATTCTTGATCAGCATCAATACCCGAGTCGATCTTGTCATTTCCATCGAACTTGCTGACATAAGAGCAAGCACTCTTACTTGTTTTTTTTTGTCTTGCAAATTTCTTTTATTTATTTACATTTGGTTAGGCTAGAGCATTACCACGTCGTTGCTTCTAATATTTTGTGTTTTCTTGACCGTTTTCAATGCGGTTTGTGTGCCCGCGTCAGTTGTCAGCAAAAAGTGCCACCCAATAGATGTGGGGAACCTGTCAAGTAGCTTGTTTACGCGGCCATAATGCAAATGTGATCGACTTGGCCCGGCCAGCAACATCATTCATCAGCTGAGCTAGTTTTCTCGCTTGGTTACCCAAATGCATCAGTTGATACTGCATTACCCAGTAACCCAGATAGAATAACTGAGGCATCAAAGCAGAGCCAAGCAAAGTTCAGAAGAGTGCGGGATTTAGGTTGTTTTTTTCCAGGCACATGTGCAGTTGCCTTTCCGAGAGGTATAAGCATATATGCAGACATATATATATATATATACATATATATATATATATATAAATATATATAAGCTTACCTCTCGCTATCAACTTGCTTTCAAAGAGCGAAAATAAAATGCTCAACCAGAAGTAGTGGAACTGGAGCAGGATGCAAACAAACCCGGCAACTGCCAGAGCTGACAGTAGCCAAAAAATATGTCATAAAAAGATATGGTCTGCGTCAATATTGACACAAGCGCTGAGTGGGGCGAGGGGCAAGCTGCACAGGTACAACAAAGTAACGTATGTGCGGGTTGGGGAGAGGGGGTAAGGGGCAGCTGTTCACCTGTGTGGCTTAGAGATGGCTACGTTGTAGTCGTTGTCATCATCTCTGTAATTTTCATTGTTTTGCGGTAAAGGCCGCAGGCCAAGCAACGTGCCACACGCTGTTTGTCAGCAAACCAGCGTCAATTACTCACTGTGGCAACAAATAAGTTATAGCTAAAGTAATCCTATGTCAAGCAAGGCTAAAAAGTGGTTTTAAACTGAAACGTTTAAAGCTCAGAACTATTATTTGCTTTTACTATGA